GTGAGTGTCAGTTAGGAGGTCTGGTTAATCTATGGGGCCTCTGGTAGTGCGTAGGTATTTATCATTATAACACAAATGGACTTTGGGAGCCCACTCCACATAAAGAGATATTCTCTCAGCCTAGACACATGGAGGAGGGTCTAGGAACTTCTCCAAATGATATGACAGACTTTGAAGATGCCCCATGGAAGGCCTTACCTTCCCTGGGGAGCAGAAAAGGGATTGGATAGGTGGTCAGTGGGGAGCAGGGGACAAGGAGAGGGAGAGGGAACTGGGATTGACATATAAAACAAGCTCATTTCTAATTTAAATAAAAAATAAAAATAAAGCTTACATCTGTAAATGTTGAACAAATAAATGAAAACAGACACATGCACTGTCACATGAACACATACATGTACACACAAACACACAAATTACTTTTTATATTATACAAAAGTAACCCTACTACTTGAGATGATCGTATTAAGTATTAAGAGATGGCTCTGCAAGGATGGGATGAAGTTTTGCTTGCATAGCTCTAATGAATAGAAACAGTCCCCTCCCAAAGGATGCCTTGAGGTATTCCTTTATCACTTCTGCTATGAGGGTTTTAGATGTCAACTTTAAAACATATAGTATCATCTGGAAAAGGCTGTAGGCATGTCTGTGGAGGATCATCTCAATTGATTTAGGTGATGTCATAAAACCCAGTCCACTATGAGTAGCACCATTCCGAGTTTGTGTCCCACACTGTATAAGAGTGAAAAAGGAAAGCTGAGTAATAAGATTATGTGTATTCATTCTTGAGAATCTTTACTGTGGGTATGACTAGATTCTTCAGGCTCCTTCCTTGATGTCCCAGTAGTGATGGACTGTCACTTGGAATTGTAAACTTAGCAAACCCTTTTCCCCTTAAAAATGGATTTTGTCAGGATCTTTTTTATCATATTAGCAAGAAACAAAGTGAGGATGGATATTGAATCTTTCAACACTGGGAACTTGACTTTCTCAGCCTTTAGGATGCTAAGAAATGCATTTCTCTTGTTTAAAAACAACTCAGTTTATGGTAAACTGCTGTGGAATCCTGGATGAACCAAGGTAACCCTTTCATTTATCTATGGATAATATTCATTCCTGCTTTGTGTATTGGTTGTCATGCTGAGAAATGAAGTACAATTAACACATTTTATGTAAATATGAGTGGATATAAGAATAAAAGTAGAAAATGTAATATTTGTACTAGCAACCTAACTTTCTTTTTCTGTTTCTACTCATTCTACATTTCCTTATCCGCCTTATCTGGTTGTATGATTGTATAACCCAACATCCATTTATTCTCTACATCTAAATAGTAAATGAGATCTCATTATTTCTCTTAGACTGACTATTTGGGAGATCAAATGTCGAGTAAAACCAGGGGGGAATGTTTATATTTGAGAGTAACTGAAGAAATATTAAACATTTATAAAAGAAAACTTGGAAGATAGTGTGTGGCAATAAATTATGACATTTATCAAAAATAACATGCATAATGTTAGATCTAAGTGAATTAATTGATATACTAACACTTTTTTTAGAGGTTGTTATTTGGCATTTATAACATTTATTTATTTCCTTGATTGATTAATTGTAGTTAAATTACCTTAGCATGCTAGAACAGATTTTGACATAACATTAAATAGCATAAAGCATAACTAATGCGCCTTAGTAGCTTGCTCTGTATAAAAGCACACAATTTAAATACACAATTCATTAGGAATTTTTGCAGCTACAGTGATTTAGAAAGATTTAAATATTGAAACTACCCCATCTCCTGTGTTGCAGGGGGCAGGAGTTTTTTTTTAATAAAAAATTTATTTTATTTTATCTTCCAGTTTAAATTTAGATAAGAAACGAGATTGCTTCACAAGTCAGTTCCAGGTCCCTCTCCCATTCCCTCCCCTCCTCCCGTGCCCTCCCCCCAAACCCCCCCCATTATCCCCTCATTCCCCCAGGGAGGGTGAGGCCCTCCATGGGGGTGTCCATAGTCTGTCATTTCATATAGGGCAGGGCCTAGACCCTTCCCCAAGAGTTCAGGGTGAGAGTGCACCTCACATTGTTCTATGGGAGTCCAAAGTCCATGTGTATACTTGGGGTGGTATACTAACACTTTTAAGAGGATTCCTATTCACTTTGCTTAAGGACCAAGTTCCTGACTTGCCTTTAAGACTTAGATAACAGGAAGACAGCCACTTTGCTAATTTCACCATTCCATATCCATTATCGTCTCTACATCTACATCGACATGCTATAGAGACTGGCTTAACACAGTCCTAAAATTTTGCTAAATTTACCTTTATAAAAGGAGTCAATTTCATCTTCAAGAAAATGTGTTTGCTGAAAGCTGAACAGCAGTGTGGGTTGAGTGAGATAAGAAACTGATTTTTGCTAATGACATGGAGAAAAATTAGGAGTTTCTGGATTCCCAGTGTCAGCTTCTGGCCAGTACTTTTCTATGGTTTGGGGATGATTTCAATGTGTCTACTAAGAGTTGTGTGTGTTAGAGACCTGATATTCCTCATGCCAGTATAAAAGTACTGGAAACATTGTGAAATGGAGCTTAGAGTTAGACCATTGTCCATTGTTCTCAGGAGGGACTAAGTTGGTGCTTGGGGTCTCCTTGAATTAGTTATTTTTTAGTTTGTTGTTTATGTTTCCTGTTGTTGTTTGAGACTGAATCTGATTAGGCTTAGAATTCATAATTTAATTTTTCTGCCTCTGTTTTCCGTGTGTGTGTGTGTGTGTGTGTGTGTGTGTGTGTGTGTGTGTGTGTGTCCCACCTGGTTCCCTTAAGTTTGTTTCCTGAACTTGTGACATTGTCCAAATATGCCACCAGTGGACACAGGCTTAGAAACTTTCTTTATTTTTCTTTCTTTTCTTTTTTAATTTTTTTGTTTCTTGTGAAAGGATTTGCTGGAGCTTATAGAATCTGAGAAAACGACAATGCTATTATCAGGGTTGAGTTTGAACTAAATAGGTAGCCAAGAGACCGACGCTTGACATGACCTTTCTGTGTGACACGTGCCAGTGACCATCCTGTTTGTGAGATGTGTCCTTTCATGTTGAGTTTGGGCAGTGATGCCATGAGATCACAACAGCCACTTTGATGGAATATGAGTATTCTGCATTCACCTTTGAAATCCCAGTGCTGAATATACTGTTTTGTATACAATAGCACTTTACTATATTTGATTGGAAAGAAATAGTGGCACAGTATAGTCACCCTCACTGTACTTACCACCTGTTCAAAAATCCCCCAGTGTCTTTCTAACGGGTTTCAGTTAAAGTATGTCCAATTTATTTTTGGATTTCAAGTCCTTCCATAGACTATATGTAGGATTAACTTGAACTAGCCCCAGTTACTTTCACTACTCCCTCGATTAACATGTTGTTCCTTTTTCCCCCAACATAATATTTTTATTGATTATTTGGGAATTTAACAACATGCTCCCCATTTTACTCACTTGCCATTCCTCCCAGGTCTGCTCTCTTACCCTTGTGATACCCCACCAAGAAAGAAAGAAAAAGACAAGTTCAATTTGTGTTGCCCATATAGTCAAACACCCAGTGGCTAGCCCCTTAAGGAAAACTGAGTATTTCCCCACCCTGACCCTTGCCAGAAGCCATCATTATCACAATTTTTAAGAGTTCTCTTCAATGGCTTCCTGTCTAGGCTGTTACTTTTGGGGGGTGGAGTGGGGTAGGGGTTTTCCTAGAAGCATTATGTGTCTTTCTTAAATGTGTGTCTGCAGCCATAAATACCACTGCAAAAGAAGATTCCTTGCCCTTTACAGTCAGCAGGAGCACAGATCACTGATTTCTATGTGGTTTTGGGCCACAGCACAGACCATGAACATTTACATGGCCTCCAGCATCCACATGGGCCACTTGGACCTCAGCATGGTCTCCAGTGTCAGTATAGACCACAGACACCAACACAGCCCTCTGCCGCAGCACAGGCCATGAACACCATCATAGCCCTTGGCATCAGCACAGGCCACAGACATCAATATGGCCTCCCAGGAAACACGGGTCATGGACACCAATGTGATCTCCAGTGGCTGCCTAGGCCATGGACATCAACATGGATTTACCGAAAGTTATGTGGATGTCCGTGATCTATGCTGCTGACTGAATACATTGATCCTTAATATAGTTCTTAAAGTAGTTGTTTGGAGAGTCAGGTACTTTGTGTCATCTCATGTACTTGATCAAATAGGAGGAGCTGTTACCATTACTACTACTAAACTACCTAGAAACTGACAGAGTTGAACTGGAGTTTCTTGATGAAATCTAATGGAGACAGAGTTTCTTTGTGTAACAGCTCAGGTTGTCCTGGAACTTGCTTTGTAGACCAGGCTAGCCTCAAAATATGGAGATCTACCTGCCTCTGCCTCCCAAGTTCTGGGATTACAGATGTGCACCAACACCACCCAGTTTCTACTGCTTCTTTGTATATAGCACATTAGGTAGAAAATGTTTGTTTTTCTTCCATATTCTTGGTCCCTTCTGTACCATATTCTGGAGTCCATGGGAGTGGACAGTATAGTGAACTTTACTGATCAGAAGACATGAATAGTTTCCCTTTGACCATTATAAAAATCTAGGATTTGACAGCATTTTCTTCACCTATGCATACTATAGCACTAATTAGAAAGATTCACCAAGTCTCTGTATATAACATTTTCTCAAAAGTCATCCTGTTCTGGCACTATTTGGCATTGGGAGTAGGAACTGTTTTAAATGAGGGAATGTATGCAGAAGCCAAAGTATTATCTAAAATTTTATCCACAGTACAAACCTTATTTTTTAAACTTTTTTCCACTTGGCTTGGTTTTGTGCATCAACTTTGGAAATGTTATCACAGCGTTCCTGTCACAGTTAATTTGTAACTAAGAATGCTCTAGTTTTGCAATAGAGGGCATGTTATAAAGATGGAAAGGCGTTGCTATCTGAGAGATGCAAGTGGCTTCTTGGGCATGTGCTGTAAGTATTTTTTCCCTTAGCAACATTGAACTTTTCTAAGTCAGAGTTCCAAAAAACTGAATTTGAATCAGGAGGCAAGGTCTAAGAGTGGTCCTCCTGTAACTGAGCTTCTAGCCATCCTTGATGACTTTAACAGTAAGTGTACTCTGGTGATAATGTGGAAATTTGATCTAAAAGTGGATGAAGGAAGGCTAAAGGAGATAAGAGTCCCTTTGTCATGCTAGAAGCTGATAAAGTCATTAAAGCCTTAAACTTAGGCAATGGCAATTGGAAATGGAGAGAAAAGAAAAGTTTTGATAAGTATTCAGTCAATATTCATTGGTCATCATTAGCATTAGAAGTGGAGAATAAAAATGAAGCAAGTTCTTTTGATATGGGTCTATCTATAACCAGGGGTGCAATATATTGGAATATGGAACGAAAATGAAGAAGTGGGTTTGGGGAGTTGAGATAGAATGCATTTACATTTGGAAAATGGGTTCTCCCAGTGGAGGCTGAAGTATGAACGTGCAAACAGTGTATATATGTTTAGTAGCAGCTGAATAGATGGGTAAAAATTCAGTAAGACAGTATGGAATAGAAGGACATTTATAATATAGCAGTTTAGTACTTTAAGTGAGACCATTCATGAAGAAAATGAAAGGCTTAGGAAAGGGTCCTATACTGATTCCTTGAATCCCTTTTTTCTAACCACTGGTGTATGACTCTACATCATTCTCCCGGTTTCTTTGTACTTTTTCACACTTAGAAACTATAGGACTTCCTCTTTAATTGTTACAAAATGACATGCATATTTATAAGAATAAGATGGTTAAGATTTGTTAAAAGTGAGAAGTTACTCTGCAGGTGGCACTGAAAGAAAGAAGTCTCTAAAACAAGAATGTTATACTTTCATTTTCTTATCCTTTGGAAATACTCTTGTAGATTCCATATATTTCATAGATGCATGAATTTGGGTTGTTATGTTGTACATGGCTCGATAAACCATAACCCTTCTATTATAACTAATCCTTGTCATATCACAAATTTTATCTTAAAACATCAATTTAATATACACACATGCACACAAACCAAAATTCTAATGTACATGTAGAATATACAGAGGCAATGTTTGCTCTTTCTAATGAATCTTCATACCCATAAAACTGCCCTTCATTCCAATGACACATGATGCAATTTCCATGAGTTTAAATTAGTATTAGCATTTTCACATTCTATTACCATATGTTAATGTATTCATGGCATTGTATTTCTGTTGCCTAGGCAAACCATTTATCCTACTCTCTTTCCCTAGTAGACATGTCACTGGTCTTTAGAGAAGAGAGAGACTACCACACCTTATTCCTCCTTGAACACACCTTCAAATACTTTCTTTAGTTTTGTAAACCAAGGTGGGTGACTTTTATGTTTTTCAGGATCAGAAAATGTTTCATCTATCTAAGCTCCCCCAATGGTTATCTCACTTCATGTTTTGTAGATCATCTTCATTCCAGAATGTCAGTGTTCCTCTATCTATTTCTCTTGGTATTTGGGCTTCACGATACAATCCATTGTGTACAATATAACAGCTCTGAAGGCAAAGTAACATCCTGCTCTTTGCGCCAACAAAATGCCACTCTCTGTAAGATGTCGTCTATCAATGCTGACTTTGCATTCAGTCTATATAATAGGTTCTCTGTGGAGAACCCAGGTTGGAATGTCTTCTTCTCCCCTGTGAGCATATCTGCTGCTTTATCGATGCTTTCTTTTGGACCTGGCTCTATCACCCAAACTCAGATTCTGGAGGTCTTGGGGTTTAACCTCACAGATACTCCAACGACAGAATTACATCAGGGCTTCCAGCATTTGATCTGTTTATTGAACTTCCCAAAGAATGAACTAGAATTGCAGATGGGAAATGCAGTTTTCATTGGGCAGCATCTGAAACCACGGGCAAAGTTTTTGGATAATGTCAAGAGCCTCTATGAAGCTGAAGTCTTTCCTACGGACTTCTCCAATGTTTCTGCAGCCCAGCAGGAGATCAACAGTTATGTGGAGAAGCAAACCAAAGGGAAAATTATAGGCTTAATTAAAGACCTTAGACTGAACATTATGATGATTCTGGTGAACTATATTCATTTCAAAGGCAAGGTGTTAAGACATCAATTTCCAGTCTAGTGTTAAGATAGAGAATTGGGGGGAGGAATTATGGTCTTTTATCACTGGCATTAGTAGGTGTCCCTCATACCACAGTGATTTTTCACTACTGTCTATATCTGTGCATGGTGTTAGATCATTCCAGGATGACACATAGCTCCAGGAAATTTCTATGGAAATAACACTTTCAAAGATGCATTTGACAATATTATGAATGTTCTGATCATATCAGGCTAAATAATTACAGTTTCTAAAATATTTAATGAGGTGGGGAAAGCCTGTATTTAGCAAGTCAACTGAATTTGTATCTAAGAATAATGTGGTCCCTACTTCCTGTGCACATTTAGATATATTGCACAAATACCTTTTATTATGTGTTAAGTACTTACCATGTACTAAAGTTATGCTATAGTGAGAATGCCCTGGCACATTTTGTCCTTCCAAAGGAGGGACACCTGGAGTGGGTGAAGGAAGCCATGTCATCTAAGACACTGAAGAAATGGAACTACTTACTACAGAAAGGGTAAAAAATTTAGAGGGTATGAGGAACTATGGGTGGGCCTAACAATGGAGGTGAGGCTGAGTTCAGAAGAAACCTAGAGGTAAGAAAATTATCCAGAAGCACTTGGCAGGGGTATGATGATATTTAGAGTATGTCCAGTACTGTGTGCCTGGCACTTTTCTGGATACTTTCCACAGTGTTTCATCTAAGCATATTGAGAAAATGCCAAAGGAGACATTGTCTTGAACATTTGTCAAATTAGTAATTCCCAAAAAGCTCCCCAGAGTGATGATGCTAGGATGCTGATACCTTTTGGGGGACCAAATTGAGCTTTGGGATGGATAAGATTTTATGTTGACATGGAGTTTGCAGTCATTCTTAGCTAAAACTGCAAGACAGAAAACTGTGAAATTTCCTGTGCCTTACACTTTGATCTTCATTCCATTAGACCCCTACCCTTGCTCAATACCACAGAGATACATGTATCTGATAATAAGGGGCTGCGGCACTGTGTGATGCCACCCAACATTTTCTGTGTCAGAGATCATTTCTACAGCAATGCCTTCTGTTATTCTGGTGCCATGTTAATGGCTGTCAATGTTCAGAGGAGTAGCAGTGTTGAATGAGAGAGAGAGAGAGAGAGAGAGAGAGAGAGAGAGAGAGAGAGAGAGAGAGGGAGGGAGGGAGGGAGGGAGGGAGGGAGGGAGGGAGGGAGATCTTAGTGTGATTAGTATGGTGACTATAATGTCTTCCATTCAGTATCCCATACAGATGGGTTGAGTTGTTTTTTCTGCCACATACGACCTTGGAAGCACACTTCAGAAGATGGGCATGAGGGATGCCTTTGTTGAAAGTGCTGACTTTTCTGGAATGACAGAAGAAAATGGTCCACAACTATCTTATGTAAGCTGATGGATTAGTATTTTACAGTATGAGCTGGAAAGGACATTGAGAGTCAATTAATTCACCCATCTCATTTAGTCAATGAGAAATATCATGTCTATAGTAGCAGTGTGATTCTGTTAGGTGAGTATCATATGAAAGTCATTCTTGTTACTCAAAATAAATCATTTTAGAAGTTATTTCTGGAGCTGCAGCAATGGCTTTGCAGGTAAGAGAACTGTTTCCTCTTCCAGAAGACTCAGGTTTCCATCATCAATGTAACATGGCAGCTCCCAACCGTCTGTGACTTTGGTCCCATGAAATTTGACACCATATTTTGGTCTCTGCAGGTACAATGCAAGCATGTGGTGCAAAAGCATACATGCAGGCCAAACACCCAAATACATACATACACACATAAATAAATAAACAAATAAATAAAATTTTCATCCCCAACCCTCATGTACTAAGATGACTCTAATACAATGGAAATCTTAATGATCAGAAGTGACTCTTGTGAGATACTGTACTAGAGGAGATGAGAAAGGCACCAAAGAGATAGCTTTTAGAGATGGAAGGTGATGGAGTATGGGATGATACCCAAACAAGTAGTCCTAAAATCACATATATTCACTAACTACATTTATCAAAGTACTATTCACATTCAAGTACCATCAACACAATACACTGTATTTCTTTATGTACATCTAACACACCCAAAGGCTTTTGCCACTTTTTTCAGGGGATGTTCAGTGTGTGTTCTTCTCTCATAGGCTTTTCACAAGGCTGTGCTGCACATTGGAGAAGAGGGAACCAAAGAAGGAGCTGCTCCTGAAGCTGTGTCTCTGCATCAGCCAAAAGTAGCTCCTCTTCACCCTATTATCTGATTTGATAGACCATTCTTACTGATGATTTTGGAGAAAAGGACCAGAAGCATTCTCTTTTTAGGGGAAGTTGTTAACCCAGCGAAAGAGTAATTGGGGAAGAGGCCATTGAGTATGTGCGTATTATAATGGGAAATAAACATTTAACATAGCTTGATGTACTTTCTGTGGGCTTGGACTTTATATCTTTTGTGCAAGGGATAATAGAGGACCTTCTCAGGACTACATTGACTGTGGAAGAGGCTAATGCTTTGACCACACATGCAGATAGTCAATGAGTTATTGTTACCTAAGACTAGAGGAATGATCAATGTTAGTAAGTCACTATAAAGCTACTCATCAATTAGCTAAGTCTAGAAAATTTGACTGGGATTACAAATGCCTTTGGACAATAGCTGCAGTATAAGTCAAGTCTTCTCATTATAGTATTTCAATAGTATGATCAATGAACATGCAAATGGTGTGGCTTGTATATAAGCTTCACATTAACATCTGCTCTTTTTACACATTCAAAATGAGTCTGATTATAGCTACTGCTAGCTTTAATAAAGCTTCTTTCACTATACTATCAAGCCATAGATTGGGTGCTTTCATCTAGAAATGTAACTTTTGTTACCAAATGTGCATTCAACAACAGAATAGAGAGAAATTAGTTTCCTCACACAAGTCACATCCTCACTAGCAGATATCATTTGTTCTAATTCATAAGGTATCGATGGAGAGATAACTCATTTGCATTGTATATCTGTCCCACTTGGTCTCATGGAAATTTCCTGGTTAACCTGTCTTTTGTCTGTATTCCTCAATAAAATAGGATATTTGTGTCCCCAGAACCCACTGCCTATGTCTGCTATTCTATCTTCACCAATCAAAGTAGATTTATTCTTCACTTCCTGTATTCAAACACCAATACTAGAATTTGGAATACAGATATAACAGTGAGATTTAATTATGTAGTAGCAAAATTCTATCTCCAGTCTTTCACTAATAGGAAAAGAGCAACAAATGTATTAATACTGTGTATATTTGCTTCCATATTAAAATAAATAAATATGCTTAGCTATATGTTTTTAGTTTTTATTCTTTTCTTATTAGATACATTTGTAGTGGGCTTGAATATCTTTTCTATCTATAATATTTATTGTTTTCATTCATGCATCTGTACTAGCCTTTTCTTGGGGTTCTGACAGAATATGCCCTCAGCTGCAGCCACTAAGAGTACCACCTGTGCACATTCACTACTTCCACTTTTGAAGGGGGCCCTGCCTACCTCCTATTCTCCTATGTTTTTCTTCCCCCCTTTCCTCTCTCCTGCTGCTCTTGTTCCTAGAGGCCAGTCTCCCCTATCCCCTTTTCCCTTTTTTTGTGATCCCTTTCCCTAATAAAGACACCCATGCACTTGAACTCTGTCACATGGCAGTTTTTTCTCTCGAACTGTCTTTTAAAAATTACAACACTTACTTTGGCCTTTGTGGATAAGGAATTGGAAACCCAGAGAAGGGTGATGACTTATGGTACAGAAAAAGTTCATCCTTAGCACAATGCTTCATTTCACTGTAATTAGTTTACAATATTGGTTCTGTTGTGTACACTATTTTGTGATTTTGGCAAAGTACATAATCTCTACAACTTCTTTTCCTCATGTGAAAATGGAAATGGTAATAATATCCATGCTGTTATGACCTCACCAAATCCTAGGAAATTCAGTGAAAATGCAAGACAACCCCCCCAAAGAACAACATAGGCTATTGCCATTGTCCATGGTTGCCTTTTAGAACTGCAATGTAAGACCTTATTGCTGAAGACACTGAACATGTAGGATACAGGGCTTAGAGGAATTGAGGTGGAAAGAAGCTGGAAACCTCCCTGAGAACTAGCTCTCATAGTATCTGAGGTACTGTGCAAGCTGCCAAGGGAGAAAAGCAATCAATAGCTCTACTCAGTTATAAAGCCTATGAATCACACTGGTGATCAGCCTGCTAGTGATGCAATAGTGACACGTTTATCTTTGAAGTAATCAACAACTGTTCAATTATGTTTAAGGCCCACTCAATAGGAGGAAGTTTGCACCAGACATTGTAAACCTAGTTAGTGTCTCCTGGCTGGAGAGGTCATAGACTCTAGAGAACCTACTGCTACTGTTTCCCTCAAAGCACTATGGTTTTCAACTGTATTCTAATACTTGTCCTTATACACACTAATAAGTGTAGCTCTGTCCCTCATCAAAGAAGCACCTTTTAGCAAATATGAAAACTATTGCAGAAATCCACAAGTGATCAATATGCAGAGAATAAATGAATGTGGTTTCCTCAACCTAAACAGATTCATCTACAGTACAGCATGTATACCTAAGAGTGAGCGAACATTGGGGAAAAGGGGGTGGAAAGATTCTAAGAACCAGAGAACCAGTATATCTGCAGCTGCACAGTGTCTTATAGACATATTAGGGATGCTAAACCCATGAGACCATGAACAGTATGGCTGATTAACATACCTGCATAATGACAATGATCAGGCATGCCAACATGGATGAGGGAAATTTTTCAAGGCCTCGCTCCTAGATGAAGAACTACAGTCAATGACTACTAGGGAAGGAGGATCAGTTTCCTCGAAGAATGAGCCTCTTGATGTATTATTCAGTACCAAGCAGTTAGCCCTAAACATGTCTGTAGGACTGAACCCCACAAAGTTATCTGCCCATGAGGGCGGGGACAAGTAAATTAGCACAGGCAGAGATAAAAGGAAGCAAAAGGAAAAAGGACCTCATCTTTTGAAAGCTGGCCATGCTTCTGACTCCCAGCTTGTGTGATTCTCTCTCTCTCTGGTAAATAAATATATTGTATTCCCTATAGCATTGACTATCATAATTACATGTCTATATTAGCAATGCTAAAAATGGAGATTCAGTAGGTATCTATGTTTGTATGTGCCTAGAGGAAGTGCACTGCTAGGAGTAGGCTTTGAAAATTTCATCACATCAACAATAAACATGTGTAATGTGCCAGGTTACTCAGAAATTGTTAATCCCTGAATTCCTTAAGCTTCTTGAATGATGTTTTACATATATATAACTTAGGATGATTACAATAAGTTAGCTTCAGAGATGACTGTAGAGAGTGGAGGAATCTCCGCATGATTTGAGTCCTGAGTGAATGTATATTTTGACATGGGGATGTCCATGTTGAGGACTCCACAGACAATTAACACAAGGGAAGCTGGCAAAGCCATTACTCATATGTTTCAGGCTCAAGAGGAATGGCAAAGCTTTCCTTGGGAGTCAAGCTACAAGACTGATCAGTGTGTGCACAGACTAGCAACTTGCAGCTGCCTCCTTACAGATGTTTACAGCTTGATCCCATCTTCACTGGACTTGTATCTGCGTGTGTGTCCTTTCTTCATCCCCATGTTGCCCCAATGTTTCTAGGACCCAAGTCACTTGGGATACAACAGATTATAATTTGGTATATAGAGCTTGTGATGATGGCCATAAGTCTGCTTCAGAGTTTCATGATCTAGTATTTAAACAGCAACTCCCTCTCAGTAAAACAAATGAGTCAGAATGGGAAGTGCCTTCAGTATTGCCAGGTGACAAGAAACACCACAAGAGTTTCATGGCTATGAAGGTGAAAGCAAGGTTCAGTTCTTTCATATTCAGATGCAGAGAATGAGGCAAGTGTATTATTCTACCTTGTAAAAGTGGAGAATTTTCATGGATGTGTTATGGAAGAAACTATGTTGTTCTTGAAACTACTTTGAGCATGAAACCTTATACCATTGCAGTTCTTTACATGATTGTCACCCTTACCATGTAGAAGCTGTTTTACTCTTCCACTATGTACACATATGTGGGCATGTTTTCACTGCATACTTGAAGCCATATGAAGCATCCTTTACAATGCAAGTGCCATTGGCTGAGTAGAGGAGCTATTCAGCACAGAGATACTAAAAATAAATGTAACTCAGGACATTGAAATGACCAGGGACAAAGAATTCAAGGGACATTCCCTGGTCCCTTGGATTCTCTGTAGTGATTAATGGATCACAAGGCTGGCTGTGTGTGCCCATGTGAATGTTTGAATATGAAATGTAGCCAACACTCCTATGTGTTGAAGTCTTTGTCTCCAGTTGGCGGTGCTATCTTGGAATGTGTTGGATATTTTAAAAAATGGAGCCTAGGTAGAGGAAGTGGATCACTTGAGAGAGAGTATGCTTGTGGGAAAAATCTTGTCTTTGGCCCTTTCTGGAAATGTCTTCTTCTTTCCTAGCTATCATGAGGCAAGAAGCTCTGAGGTTCATGCTCCAGTGCCAGGAAACTGGGGGACCAGGGGCTGGAGGATGAAGAGACTGAGCAGCTCCCTGCAGACGGGACACAATTTATTTGCTAGAACAGGATGCTAGGAAGGTGATGGCCTGAAGGTACCTACACACATGGCCAACACACACTGGCCAGATACATGCTGGCAGAGACACGCATGCACATGGGCCATGCAAAGGCAGGCATACAGGTCTACAGACAGACGCTCAGGCAGGCTGGGGAGGCAAAGGCAAAAACTAAAGCTCAGTCTAAGCCTCTTGTCTCTGATCTGGAGGTCCCATTTATACAAAACCTAAATAAGGGTGGTATTCTGCTGGAAACAGTCATATGACAGATTGCATCACTGTTTACTTTGGGGTTCTCTGGATATCTACTATCAACCATTTTGTGCTGACTGAGAGCCCCCCTCCAGAGATGTCCTACTTCACCTATTTTGTCTCATATAAGGTCTCCAGCCTGCCTAAGCAGAAACTGCTTCTTATAGCCCAACATGTCTGCCACAAGCTTTCACCACCAAGGTAATGCCTTTCCTCATTACCATCGCAACAGACCTGAGCCAACCCCTTGACAAAATCTCTGAAAGAATGAGCATATATGTTAGTTACCTTTATCTTGATATGATAAAATCTTATGGCCAGAAGCAACTTGAAAAAGATTTTATTTGGGCTTATGGTTCTAGAAGAGAAGTCCATAATGGCAAGGAAGATATAGCAGCAGGTGACCAGAGTTGTAAAGTTACTGATCACATTTAATCAAATAAGAAGCTGAGAGCACAAACTGGAAGTTGCATGAGGCTATAATTTTTCAAAGCCTACCCCTATCAGTGCACTTACTCTAGGAAGGGTCCATATCCTAAAAGTCCATACTTTCAGCCAAAATAGTATCACCACCCAGATCCAAGTGCTTAAACATGTGAGACTATAGGGGGGATGCATTTCACATTCAGACCACAACACTCTACTCTGTGTTCCTCACAGATTTGTGGCCATATCATAATGTCAAATGCATTTAGTTCTACTTTAAATGCCTCCATAGTCTTTCAGTCTGAACACTATTTAAAAGTGCAGCCCCTTCAGACTCAGTGTAATTTGGTGATTGTAATTTGCAAATCCTGTAACTCCATGTCAGTATTTGGGACTTTAGTTTTCAGGGGCTTTGATGGCCCAGCATGTCTAGCTTTGCTACTTGCAACATAAATCTCTCTCTTGGCATGGCACTACTCTGAATATGCAGCTTTTCTTGGCATATGTCTCATGTATCTGGTATCCAACCTATAGGGATCTCTAATACAACATAGACTTCACTTTCACAGCTTAATTCAATGGCCTCTCAGAGCCTTCTTGTAGAAAACTCAAGCACTTCCATGTAGTAACTGAACCTCAGTAGCTCTCTGAAACAGTGAAGGATAAATCTATACCTGTACTCATTCTTGCATTATTCATGAACCAAAGCATGTACAACATGGAGTGCATTGTTATGTTTTGGCTGCCATCTTAGAATGGACTTTTCCTCTTTCTACCACATTAGCAATAGATTTTGTGTGTTTATGCAATTGCTTTCTAGGACCCAATAACCCCTCAGGCTTTCTGCTTTCACAGTTAGAAGTTTAGCACTATTGTCATTGTTCCTTTACAGAGTAGGTGACTTCTCCTTAACATGTACATTGTCTTTTTGCAGGATGTCCCTTGGCTGTAACATTAAGATTCCAAGTATTTTTTTCTCTTTTAACTTTTTAAATTCATATCCTATTTTCACTTTTTCAGTTTAGACCTACATAGAGTTGTTAGTGATAATCATACCACAGACTCAATGTTACATTGTCTTGAAATTTCCTCTCAGCACTAATGTCACTCAGGCCCCCACTAGAATGGCTTATTAAGCTCTGCTTAGAACATTTGACCACTTTTCTTATTCAGACTTCTAGAAGATCCCACACTCCTCCATAAAACACCATGGTCAACATGACAGTTAATTTGGCTTGTCACATTGACACACCTTGGAAGAAGGAACCTTAGTTGAAGAATTTCTTCCACCAGATTATCTAGTGACCATAACTGTGAGGCATTTTATTGTTTGTTTATTGATATGAGGCAACTCCCCCTGATATTGTATGCAATACTATCACTGGGCATATGGATCTGGTAGTTGGATGTCAACTTGGAAGCAAGCCAATAATCAACTTTCCTCTACATTTCTTGTTTTTGTTCTTGCTTAAGTTCCTGGCCTGACTTTGGTTGTGACCTGAAGGCAAAAGATAAAATGAAAGCTCTCCTCCCCAAGTTGCTTTTAGTCAGTATTTTAAAACAACAACACAAAAGTTAACTAGAAATATATGTATATATGCATGCATATATATATATGTGTGTGTGTATGTATGTATGTATGTGTGTGCATATCACAACAATAGTTATAGAAAAGAAGGTCCTGAACCTCAGAAGGAGTAAAAGAGACACAAGAGGAAGTACATGGTGGAGAGTAAAGGGAAGAAATTATTAAATTTACTATTCATGTATGAAATTCTAATCTTCTGTGAGAATTGAGAATGGATGTCCTGGAAATGACAGGGCAACTTTATCTATGGCACATCAACAGTATGGCTGTCTAAGTAGGATGTGAACAAGGACAAGACCAAAAATGCATGCTGTTGTGGAAGGGGGAAATTTCATGGGTCCCTGCACTTAGACAAAGAAGTACAGAGAATTAAGAAAGCTGAAAGTGAGAGAATTAGTCTCCTCCAGGGATGAGCCACCTAACTGGTTATACAATACAAAGGGGTTAGTCCTGAAATCACAAACACACATATGTAGTAGTAACAGTAAACAATATATACTTATACATTATACATACATACATACATATATATATATATATATATATATATAACATATATCACAGCTACAAAAGAGGCCATACATTTGATAGGGATAAAGGGGTTAGAGAACATGGAGTGACAAAAAGGAAGTGAGGAAAAGATAAACTTGTATTTTAATTTTAAAATGTTATTTAAAAAATTAAAGCACCTTAAAGTTGGGTTATTTGAATAAATGATAGAGGGATAAAGACAATATTACATGTACATAAAATTGATTATTTCCTTTCCTATTTGTATAGGTAAAGCTTAGGTATATTAATCCAAATAAGATAGTCACAGATATTCAAATAGCTATATCACTCCATATGTATGTAGCATCTAGATTAGTCATACTTGTAGAAACAGAAAGTAGGATTCCCACTGCTATAGGGAGCAGAAAATTGTGAGTTGTTATTCAATGTACATAACACGGTTCTAGAAATCAGTAAAACAGAATCTGTAGTTACTAATGCTTCAATATAGTCTTAAATATTTTTGATGGTAGATCTCATATTTAATATAAATACAGTGAAGGGTCAGTGGTATAGCAATTGCTATATCACATATCTAGTATATGTGAAACACTGGGTTCAATTTCCAACAGTGAAAAAATTAAAACAACCTACAAATCAAATAAAAATTACTGATACTACATAGTAGTGTATGCATTTATATAAAAACAAGTAATAAATTATTGCTACATGTCTAAATCAATTGTGGTTATAATGAAGTCCCATTGACAGAAATTTATTTCTCATATTACTGTAGCCTTGGAGTCTAAGATGAGGGTGTCTGTGTGTTCAGTTCTGGTAAGGATTATCTTCTAGCTTGCTGTTGTCCATCTTCTTATACTAACTTATATACACATTGCAAGCTGAAACACAAGGTAGATAGTGCTCACTTAGAGGTTTTAAAAGGATGCTGATCTTCATGAGTGCTCTGCTCTAATGACCTATCTAAAACACTATCTCCTAACACTAATGCCTTGGGAAACAGAATTTTAACACACAATGTTTGTAATTTTAGTCATCCCACACATAACTCAATGTGTATAATATGTAAAAGTAGGAATTGTGTTATTTTTATTATAAGTGGCTATGACAGTATACAAATTTTTAAAGTGATACAGCTGTTATCATTTTAGTATGGAACTATCTCTTCAAGAAAGGATATATTATAGAACCTGTGAATCCTATTAGTAAACGACCTGGAATTTTGGTCCTTTCAAGGACTATCTTACTTGAATTTTAAAATTACATTTATGTATGTATTTATCATGTGTATGTGTGCATGAATTTGGAACAGTACATGGAAGAACCATATCTATAACAAATGCTCAGCTATATTTGGGCATATATTTCTTCTTATGTACATTTCCCAAAAATATTTGGCAAAGGATTATCAATAACATTGAGTGTCAAACAAATAATGGTGGAATCTGTTGTGTAACACAGTCTATTGCTCTTCCTGATCATTGCGGTCAATGACCCTGATCTACATGGAGAAGTGGAGAGTCCTGACTCCAGTTGTTGACAGCTGATATCATTTAAGCTTGGTCTCTACCTCATTTCTTGTACTTCACATCTGAGACAGCTGATAAGAAAGGCAATTAGGAGAGGTTCAAACTATATCAGCCCTTCTTGTTTTTTTTTTTTTTTACATCGATTGATACTGTAGGGTAAAAGCCATCCGATGAAACAAGCCCCCACCAGAGCTAAGAAACACACTTTAGTCCTGAAACCAGAGCCAATTCACTGACTCTGAAAGCAGAGCAAAAAGTTTAAAAAGGCCAGAGAAAGAAACACATCCTAGCCCTGAAACGAGAGCCAAAAAGTTTAAAAGGGCTAGTGAGAGAAACACACTTTAACTCTGATATCAGACGCAAAGAAACACACTCTGTACCTGACCAAAAACCAACCAATCCCTGAGCAGGAAAAAAAATCCCTGTGCATGAAACCAACCAATCCCTGAACAAGAAACCAAACCAATCCCTGAGCAGGAAAATCAGCCAATCCCTGTCCAGGAAATCAATCAATCCCTGAACAAGAAACCAACCAATCCCTTGGCAGGAAAACCAACTAATTACTGAGTATGAAACCAATCAATCCCTGAGCATGAAATTCAGCCAATATCTGAGCTTGTCCAAGCTCACGTTTTGAAATTCAATTCCTACCCTGAAAATTACACCCTGTTAAAAATGGGCCTTTAAGAAGCCCTATATAAGCCCTGTACCTGTTCAGCTGGTAGATGCTCTTTTCAACTCTGGCAGAGGCAGACAACCTCCTGGATTTTTCTCTCCCAATAAATCTCTTGAGTGAGACTTGGGTGAGACCTTCTTTTGCTGCAAAAATGAAGTGGAGCAGAGAAGTAACAACTTCTGGGAACAGGAGCAGAGTGGAGCCCAGCAGGGCTTTAAGAGTTTCGCCTCGGAAACCTCCCCCTATTGGAGCAGACCAGAGCAGAATAGAACAGTAACACTTTTGCAGGGGAAACCTCCCCCTAGTGGAGCAGAGTTGTTACACTCATGGGGGCCTGAGAGGAAGTGTTACAACATCCCTGGGGAAACCCTCCCTGATGGAGCTGAGCTGTTAAACTGGGGAAACCTTTCCCTGGAGCACAGAACTGTGAGCTGCTAGCTTAGGGTGACTTTGTGATAGTCCTTGACTCCTTACTGCCAGGGTCCCTTTCCATCTGAGCTGCAATACTTAACAAATACTCACAGACATTCCATGCATATGAAATAAAAACATATATTTGGGTCGTTTTACTACTTTCTTGAGCTGCATTAGTTAATTTTATATTTCTGTGATGAAACACCTTGACCAAGACAACTTAAAGAACAAAGGGTTTGTTTGAATTTAGGGCTCAAAATTTTTTAAGAGTCTGTCACTACGACAGCAAAGGAACATGGGATTAGGCAAGCATGGCAGCTGGAGCAGCATGCTTAGAGTTCATGTATTAAAACAAGCAGGAAGCTGAAAGAGCGCTGAGAATGATGTGAAAAATTTAAAACCTTACATCTAGCCCCCAATGACATACTTCCTCCAACAAGGACACACCTCCTAAACCTCCCTAAACAAGACTATTGACTATGAACATTGTATTCAAATGCTTGAGACTTTAGCAGACGTCTCAAAAAACACACAAGTCATTTTTAGATTATCTAACTCTAACAAAAAGTATCATTCTGTAGTAATGAAAACTTCACTCTTTTATATGGTGCTACCATCTGTATTCATCTCAGAAACAAAAGTTCCATGTCAGTCCACCCTCTGTCTATGGGGTAGCCAAAATAAACAGGGATTCTTCTTTCTACACTCTATCCCCTGAACACAGGCATCCTGAAAGGTCTAAGTAGCATTCATATCTCATTGTCGAATGCCTCCTAATAAAATTTCATGAGAAAATATTCACCCCATAGTTTTATGATTTACAAGACCCCCCCCCAGCTTATCACTGTAGAAACTGGAAAGCAGAATCGCACAGTAGGTTATTGAAAGTTACTTTTTTGTTCATCTGTTGTTTCTCTGAGCCTTAGATTCTTCCTACTGGGGACATAGGAGATATAGCCAAAGAGGATCATGATTAAAGTTAGTTTACTGTATTTTTAAACAAGCCAGAATTTCAAAGTATTGTTTCTGAACTGGAACTTCAAGCAAGACTTAAGCAAGAATATTAGTCAGATTTTCTATTACTGTGGCAATGTATCTAAGACAAAATATGTTAAGAAAGTTGTTAGTATTCAGGTTTCTGTACAGGCCTATCCTTAGGGTTCTGACAGACTATATTGTCAGCTGTAACCATTAAGAGCACCACCTGTGCACATTCACTATGTTCCCTTTTATAAGGGAGCTGCCCTTCTCCTTCCCTCCCTCCCTCCCTCCCTCCCTCTCCACCCAGATTTTCTGGGTTATTTTTAATTATGGACTTTTAACATCAGCATCTTTGCAATTGTGGAAACCATCATTTGTCTTTAGAATGGTTCTGTCTGGGCGTGTAAGTTCTCCCACATCTTTAAATTAGTCATTCCTTTCTCTTTTCTCTGATCACAAAAAAATTATCACCTGCTGATTCTTCCAGCAGCTGTCCTCATGGAACTGATAATATCCCCATAGAATCAACTTAAGTCAGACATTTGACACTGCTTGAAAAGGCTCTATTCTATAGGGAACTTTTTCCTTAAGTTGTTATGACCCCGCAGTTTTCAGATGCTTTTAAAACTTTATTTTAGTAAGTGACCTGACTTTACACAGTCATTCTTTTAAGGAACATTTGCATGCTATGAATTACTCCATCTATATCCAGGGAGAAATAGTTATGTGTTCCCTGAAGTTTCCTGGGTTATTTGAATTTGTAGAGTAGACTGAGGAACACTGTTCTAGGAAAACACTGAACATGTGTACTAAAGATATGTGCCAGGAAAGTTACTGTATTAAAGTAACAGGGAATGTTTTCAAATGCCCCAAATTCTCACTGGTATGGCATTGAATATATTGCAGTATATTCCTAGAACATAGTGGTGTTCAGTCATCAAAATTGATTAATAAACATAAATATCTGAACAGGACTATAACACACACACACACACACACACACACACACACACACACACACACCAAGTACCATATACTTGAAAATCGAATGAAGATTGTATTTTAAACATTATTGTGATGACTTAATTAAGTGGCGACTGTAGGTTCTCCTCCAACTTTGATTTATGAGAAGGTTTGGAAGGAGGGAATGGAAGGGGGCAAATTATGTAATTAAGTAATAATCTCAAAAAATAAAATACATAATGTAAAAATCTTATTAACTTATGATAGTTAATTTTGGTTGTCAACTTGATTGCACCTGGAGTCAACTAAGATACATGCCTCTGGGAGGGTCTATAAGGATATTTCCTGAAAGGATTAAGAGAGAGAAGAGTTTCCCAGAGTGTGGTCTGTGGAGGCCCAAATATGGGGAGACTAAAGAAACGATCTGTTGGGGTTTTGCCCACTGTGGGGAACTGGAGAAGCCTCGAGTAAATATATAAAGGATGGAGGGAGTTCTAAGTAAATGTGAATTGTTTGAGCCTGGCTGTGGTTAGTGCATCTGCTTGGTTGCTCCTGCTGTTACCATTATTTGCTGGGATTGGAATCCATCTTCTTCAGACTTCCAATGTACAGTGAAGATGTGAGGCTCTCTGGGAGTCCATCAGGCCTTCCTTGCCAGATTGCTGCTGCTAAGGCATCTAGCATTGTGGACTGAGAAGCTACTGGGTTCCTAGCTTCTTGAGGGTGCAGATGGTCCTTATAAGACTACCCAAACCCTCTCATGTAAGTCAATCTAATGAATCATCTTGAAATATATACTAATTTTATTGGTTTTCTTCCTCTAGAAAATTCTGACTAATAACATTTGTTAAATATAAAATGTAAAAAAATTGCTATGTGATATCCTACCAAAAACAATCTGCAAATTTAATGATAGTCGTATCAAAAATCCAACACAGTCCTTTACAGAAATTGGGAAGAAAACAGTCTAAAACTTCATAAGGAACCTAACAACAACAACAAAAACAGAAGAGCTAAAATAATCTTTACTTATAAAAGAGCTGCTGAAGGTATCAACAACCCAGGTTTCAAGTTGTAATATAGATCCAGCATAGTATTGACATAAAAACAGACATGTTGATCAATAGAATTGAATTGAAGACACACAAACCTATGGGTACTTGGTTTTTGACCAAGAAGCCACAAATGCACACTGGAGAAAAGACATCATTTTCTACAAATGGTGCTGGTCAAACTTTATGGCTGCATGTCGAAGAATGCAAATAGATCTATGTTTATCGCCCCATACAAAACTCAAGTCCATGGGAGCATGGGGAGGGGAGAGGGAGTTAGGAGAAAGAGAAAGGGAGAGGAAGACATGAAGGAGCAGGAAGTTGAGTCTTGAGACAGGGGTGAGGGGGGGAAGAATAGAGGACAGCAAGAAAAGAGATACCATAATAGAGGGAGCCATTATAGGTTTAAAGAGAAATCTAGCACTAGGCAAATGCCCAGAGATCTACAAGGATGACACCACCTAACAATCTAAGGAATAGTGGAGAGGCTACCATAAATGCCCTTCCCCTATAATGAGATTGATGGCTACCTTATATGCTATCCTAGAGCCTTCATCCAGTAGCTGATGGAAGCAGAAGTAGACACCCACAGCCAAACACTGAGCTGCATTCCTGGAATCCAGTTGCAGAGAGGGAGGAGGGATGAGCAAAGGGGTCAAGACCAGGTTGAAGAAACCCACGGAAAAAGCTGACCTGAACAAGGGGGAGCTCATGGACCTCAGACTGATAGCTGGGAAACCAGCACAGAACCGACCCAGATCCCTTCAATATGGGGGTCAGTTAGGAGGTCTGGGCAATCTGTGGGGTCTCTGGTAGTGGATTAGTATTTATCCCTAGTATAATAGTGGACTTTGGGAGCCCATTCCACTTTCTCAGCCTAGGCACACGGGGAAAGGCCTAGGCTCTTCTCCAAATTATCTGACAGACTTTGAAGATCACCCATGGAAGGCCTCACTCTCCCTGGGGACCTGAAAGGGGATGGGATAGGGGGTTGGTGGGAGCCAGGGGAGGAGGGGAGGGAGAGGGAACTGGGATTGACATGTAAAACAAGCTTATTTCTAATTTAAATAAAAACCCCACAAAATTCAAGTCCAAATGGATGAAGGATCTCAATATAAGACCACATACTCTGAATCTAATAGAAGGTAAAGTAAGGAATAGACATAAACTTTTGTATATGGAATTGTTTACTCAACAGAGTACTGTTAGCATAGGCACTAAGACCAACAATTATTAAATGGGACCTAATGGAGCTGAAAATCTTCTGTAAGGCAAAGGACACTGTCATTTGGGAAAAGCAACATCCCACAGAATAGAAAAATATTTTTACCAATTACTTATCTGATAATGAGTTAGAATCAAAAATATATAAAGAACTAAACAGACAAAGAACTGGAGACATTGAAAACAGTCTTAAGAGAAAAATATAGCTTGGCAGTGGTGGCACATGCCTTTAATCCCAGCACTCGGGAAGCAAAGGCAGGCGGATCTCTGTGAGTTCGAGGCCAGCCTAGTCAACAGAGCGAGTTCCAGGACAGGCTCCAAAACAATACAGAGAAACCCTGTCTCGAAAAAAAAAACAAGAAAAAAGGAAAAAAAGAGAAAAAATATATAGTTCTAGGTGCCTACATTTAAAAGTCAGAAAGATCAGAAATGATCACCTAATGACACAACTGAAAAAGTTGAAGAAAAAAACAAGAACACAACAAATGCAAACCTAGTTGATGTCAATAAATGATAAAAATCAGATCAGAAATCAATGAAACACAAAGCAAGCAATACAAAAAAAATTAAAGACCTAAGAGTTGGTTGAGAGGATAAACAAAATTGACAGAACCATGACTTAACTGATAAAAAGA